CTAGGGTGTACCAAAGTCAGACATCGAAGGGTCTCAAACAATACTATTGCGTACCCAGCACTGAACACATCCATAGCCTCGGTGATCGCGCCATCCTTGGTCCATAAATCCGTGGTTAAGGTTTGCTTTAGCTTTTCTATTTCCCCTCCACTGTCGTAGAATCTCTCCGGAGCTACGCAACACACACCTCTGCCACCTCCTATAGAAAAGGTCAGGTGTTATCACTCGTCTAGATTGATCGGCTCACCTCCTGAGTCAAAGAAGTAGTAAAAGTCATCAGGGTCATGAAGAGGCAGATTAGTCGGTTTTAAATGGGACGCAAAGTCGGTGATATAGACCCAGTTTGATGACGTGATCAGAACATTGAGCGTCGACAAGGACCCGTGGGCGACCTTCACGGTAGTTCAGTACTTGTGAGGGAAGATGAATCAAATTTAGCTACCTTCTTTCGTCTAGCATCGCGTAAACCCGTCAAAATCTGGAAAGCTATCCACTTCTTCTCAATCAAGGAGAGAAAGGGTCTGGTGCTGATGCGATCGAAGAGACTATTCGCCAACCATTGCCGAATTATGTATCCGGCCTTGTCAGTTTCCGCAAATGTTTGGTACGAGTACACATTAGGAATGTCGGCGAGATTATCGCGTTGGGCTGTTGTTTGTAATAAGGATGAGTCACGTGGTTCAGTGAACATGAGTCAAGCACTGACTGGTAAGTCGTTTGTAGTAAGTTCTGAGCACGGTCAATCCAGGATCAGGTTTTACAAAGATTTTGATGAGTAAGGGTCCGTTGCGGTGGTTAGCCTTGACAGTCTTGAGAAATCGTGAATGACCAATACTATCATTCAAAGGAGATAGTATCATTCCATTGGATTTGACAACATTTGATAGGTGTCCATGGTTGACAGTATTGACAAAATTCAAGTTTATTTTGCGGACAGGACAGTAGTTCGGTAAGGTGATTCCAGTATGTTAGAGGGATAGTTGTTGTGCATATAATAGAACGAACCTCTTATCATAGTGGATATCAGGACCGAGTTCCGAGACGTAACTATCTAAAGCTCCGGCCTGGACGCGCACTGCAGGTCCAGACACTGCATTTCCCATCTTAGGAATCCAGCTTTCACCTTACAATAGATGAATAGATTATCAGACCGAGAAATCGATGCGAGGCTATCACGTTGAAGATACGAGGCAGATGGCAGGCGCCAAATATGGCCAGAGCCAAGGCAACACACTTGGAAGTGACCACATCCTTTTTGTCACCATGGTACGCGTCTTTCACCTCTCTAATCATTAACAGCGAATTTTGAAGCAGTAGCTAACGTATTTCTCTTTTCCTTTCTTTTTGGATGTTTAGAGTACCTCTTGCCGTCGCCGTCTCATTCGTGATTTCAAGCACCTCTCCTCTGACCCTCCGGCCGGAATCAGCGGAGCGCCTTGCCCAGAGAACATTATGGTCTGGAATGCGGTCATTTTTGGACCAGCTGATACTCCTTTCGAGGATGGGACGTTCAAGCTGGTCCTCACATTCGAGGAAAGCTACCCCAACAAGCCCCCGCACGTCAAGTTCCTTTCGCGAATGTTCCATCCCAATGTATACGCTACTGGAGAATTGTGTTTGGATATTCTCCAGAATAGATGGAGTCCGACTTACGATGTCAGCGCAATCCTGACGAGCATCCAGAGCTTGTTACACGACCCTAATCCAAACAGGTGTGTACCGTATGCTTACCACGCATTCTCCTCCGTGTACTTTTGGTCCTTTCCTTTTACCGGTCGATATCTCCGATGCTGACCTAACCTTTTTCCAGCCCCGCCAATGCTGAGGCAGCAGCTCTCTACCGAGACAACATGAAGGAGTATGTGCGTCGCGTCAAGGTTACGGTCGAGGAAAGTTGGATGGATCCTCCGGAGGAACCAGCAACTACTGGGAGCAGTCGAACTCGAGAGGCTAGCGCGAACGCGAATGCAATGGTAGCCGCTTGATCTGTCAAAATCTTTTGGTCCCATTCCGGGATTGGGCGCTCCGCAAATTGCCATTTACCAAAAGGAGCGACGGCCCACATGAACCTTGCATCTCCATTACTCAACATGCATAGATATCCACCTAGCAATGTAGAACATTACATCTTACCCTTTTCTTGACTGTGGTCAAACTCTTCGTTCCCAGTTCCTCTATTTTGGGTCTACATAGTGCTGCCTTCTATCAGGGCCTGTATGTAGATGCACGCTCCTAGCCGAATGTATAATGCTATTTATCCTCATCCAATTAGTATCCTTCAGAGTTGATTACAGAGTACCTAACTAGGCAGAATGAGCCTGTCCAGCGAAGCTCTGGTGACCCCTATCTACCGCAACTCCGCCCCTTGGCGAGTTTATCGCGATTCTGGATCTCGCAGAACAAAATAGGTTCAGTTTCCTTCGTTGTGATCCTTTACGCTATGCTCGACTGAATACACGCAAGCTCTGGACACACCTTGCCTTTATTGGCAGGTGAGAGGAGGCTCAACTTTTGAATGATTTATCCCCCGCGTGAACAGTATAAATGAGGCTGGGTGATCGCAGTATTCCTGGAGAGTTGACAATTGTATCAGCAATTGTCTAGAATTCCGCGGATTTTTCGTGGCGTGAGCGGCCGGTTCAATACAAGTCTGGTAGAATTTATGACCAAAATGATGAGATCACTTTTACAAAGTTCTGAAATATTTGAAATAATGGGTGCTTAGTCGAGAGTGGGACATTATCCTTTCAATGAGTGGAAATGGGGGACCCCATTCAGCAGTCGTTCAATTGTAGCCATTTCGATAACCCATACACCACGGTCAACAGTTATTAACTACAGTTATTCCTACTTAGATAACTCCCACCTTTACCTTGACGAGGGCTTTACTTTCCATTTCAGCCTTCGTGTAACCAAGTTGCTTCGATATATTCTTGCCCCTGACCACGTCAAGGGGTCTATTTGGTCGCTACCAGATATTGGACCTTTAGGATGGCTCGGTGGGACGCAGCTCCCTCTTCTCCTTTATTTTATGTCGCGTATTGCGTGGTTATTGTGCTGGTGTTGAAAGAAGTGAACAGTATCGTCTGGGACCCTTACATGGTGCGTGCATGCCAACACAACATCCCGTTGTATTGAACTTTAGCCTCTATTAGGACGAACCCTTTCACGCTCCTCAAGCTCAAGCTTATTGTGAAGGCAAATGGGACGTCTGGGACCCTAAAATCACCACACCACCAGGACTGTACGTCGTCTTCATAGTCCGCGTGTCTCGTGTTTTTGACCAATTTAAATCTTATAGCTACCTCTCTACCGCTCTTCTCCGCAAAATATTTATGTTCAAGTGCCGATTACCGCTGCTCCGGCTCGTCCCAGCCTTGCATTTACTCTCGCTTCCAGCTATACTTTCCGTCCTCGAGGCGTACCACCAGCGCAATAACCACGCAATACGCGACATAAAATAAAGGAGAAGAGGGAGCTGCGTCCCACCGAGCCATCCTAAAGGTCCAATATCTGGTAGCGACCAAATAGACCCCTTGACGTGGTCAGGGGCAAGAATATATCGAAGCAACTTGGTTACACGAAGGCTGAAATGGAAAGTAAAGCCCTCGTCAAGGTAAAGGTGGGAGTTATCTAAGTAGGAATAACTGTAGTTAATAACTGTTGACCGTGGTGTATGGGTTATCGAAATGGCTACAATTGAACGACTGCTGAATGGGGTCCCCCATTTCCACTCATTGAAAGGATAATGTCCCACTCTCGACTAAGCACCCATTATTTCAAATATTTCAGAACTTTGTAAAAGTGATCTCATCATTTTGGTCATAAATTCTACCAGACTTGTATTGAACCGGCCGCTCACGCCACGAAAAATCCGCGGAATTCTAGACAATTGCTGATACAATTGTCAACTCTCCAGGAATACTGCGATCACCCAGCCTCATTTATACTGTTCACGCGGGGGATAAATCATTCAAAAGTTGAGCCTCCTCTCACCTGCCAATAAAGGCAAGGTGTGTCCAGAGCTTGCGTGTATTCAGTCGAGCATAGCGTAAAGGATCACAACGAAGGAAACTGAACCTATTTTGTTCTGCGAGATCCAGAATCGCGATAAACTCGCCAAGGGGCGGAGTTGCGGTAGATAGGGGTCACCAGAGCTTCGCTGGACAGGCTCATTCTGCCTAGTTAGGTACTCTGTAATCAACTCTGAAGGATACTAATTGGATGAGGATAAATAGCATTATACATTCGGCTAGGAGCGTGCATCTACATACAGGCCCTGATAGAAGGCAGCACTATGTAGACCCAAAATAGAGGAACTGGGAACGAAGAGTTTGACCACAGTCAAGAAAAGGGTAAGATGTAATGTTCTACATTGCTAGGTGGATATCTATGCATGTTGAGTAATGGAGATGCAAGGTTCATGTGGGCCGTCGCTCCTTTTGGTAAATGGCAATTTGCGGAGCGCCCAATCCCGGAATGGGACCAAAAGATTTTGACAGATCAAGCGGCTACCATTGCATTCGCGTTCGCGCTAGCCTCTCGAGTTCGACTGCTCCCAGTAGTTGCTGGTTCCTCCGGAGGATCCATCCAACTTTCCTCGACCGTAACCTTGACGCGACGCACATACTCCTTCATGTTGTCTCGGTAGAGAGCTGCTGCCTCAGCATTGGCGGGGCTGGAAAAAGGTTAGGTCAGCATCGGAGATATCGACCGGTAAAAGGAAAGGACCAAAAGTACACGGAGGAGAATGCGTGGTAAGCATACGGTACACACCTGTTTGGATTAGGGTCGTGTAACAAGCTCTGGATGCTCGTCAGGATTGCGCTGACATCGTAAGTCGGACTCCATCTATTCTGGAGAATATCCAAACACAATTCTCCAGTAGCGTATACATTGGGATGGAACATTCGCGAAAGGAACTTGACGTGCGGGGGCTTGTTGGGGTAGCTTTCCTCGAATGTGAGGACCAGCTTGAACGTCCCATCCTCGAAAGGAGTATCAGCTGGTCCAAAAATGACCGCATTCCAGACCATAATGTTCTCTGGGCAAGGCGCTCCGCTGATTCCGGCCGGAGGGTCAGAGGAGAGGTGCTTGAAATCACGAATGAGACGGCGACGGCAAGAGGTACTCTAAACATCCAAAAAGAAAGGAAAAGAGAAATACGTTAGCTACTGCTTCAAAATTCGCTGTTAATGATTAGAGAGGTGAAAGACGCGTACCATGGTGACAAAAAGGATGTGGTCACTTCCAAGTGTGTTGCCTTGGCTCTGGCCATATTTGGCGCCTGCCATCTGCCTCGTATCTTCAACGTGATAGCCTCGCATCGATTTCTCGGTCTGATAATCTATTCATCTATTGTAAGGTGAAAGCTGGATTCCTAAGATGGGAAATGCAGTGTCTGGACCTGCAGTGCGCGTCCAGGCCGGAGCTTTAGATAGTTACGTCTCGGAACTCGGTCCTGATATCCACTATGATAAGAGGTTCGTTCTATTATATGCACAACAACTATCCCTCTAACATACTGGAATCACCTTACCGAACTACTGTCCTGTCCGCAAAATAAACTTGAATTTTGTCAATACTGTCAACCATGGACACCTATCAAATGTTGTCAAATCCAATGGAATGATACTATCTCCTTTGAATGATAGTATTGGTCATTCACGATTTCTCAAGACTGTCAAGGCTAACCACCGCAACGGACCCTTACTCATCAAAATCTTTGTAAAACCTGATCCTGGATTGACCGTGCTCAGAACTTACTACAAACGACTTACCAGTCAGTGCTTGACTCATGTTCACTGAACCACGTGACTCATCCTTATTACAAACAACAGCCCAACGCGATAATCTCGCCGACATTCCTAATGTGTACTCGTACCAAACATTTGCGGAAACTGACAAGGCCGGATACATAATTCGGCAATGGTTGGCGAATAGTCTCTTCGATCGCATCAGCACCAGACCCTTTCTCTCCTTGATTGAGAAGAAGTGGATAGCTTTCCAGATTTTGACGGGTTTACGCGATGCTAGACGAAAGAAGGTAGCTAAATTTGATTCATCTTCCCTCACAAGTACTGAACTACCGTGAAGGTCGCCCACGGGTCCTTGTCGACGCTCAATGTTCTGATCACGTCATCAAACTGGGTCTATATCACCGACTTTGCGTCCCATTTAAAACCGACTAATCTGCCTCTTCATGACCCTGATGACTTTTACTACTTCTTTGACTCAGGAGGTGAGCCGATCAATCTAGACGAGTGATAACACCTGACCTTTTCTATAGGAGGTGGCAGAGGTGTGTGTTGCGTAGCTCCGGAGAGATTCTACGACAGTGGAGGGGAAATAGAAAAGCTAAAGCAAACCTTAACCACGGATTTATGGACCAAGGATGGCGCGATCACCGAGGCTATGGATGTGTTCAGTGCTGGGTACGCAATAGTATTGTTTGAGACCCTTCGATGTCTGACTTTGGTACACCCTAG